ACGGGGCAGATTCCCTCTTAGGAGGCACCTGCATGCTGTTGGCGAGTAGCATAAATAGATCACCTATTGGCCGGAGAGGTACGCACCTCGCTGCCGGTGCCGTCCGCATCGAGGCTTATCATTTTATTCCACTTGAGGAATCCAGCAACGCTGAGCACACTGACCGAAAACCCTTTTTCAGGCAAGGTGCACCGTGGTGCCCGCCTGCTTAAGATGATGGGATCAGTCCCAACATATTGTCATTCTGAGCATCGAGGCCCCACATTGTAGAGAAGTTGCGTATACTGACTAGGAACGTCCGCAAATATTGTCTATTGCGGCAATTGCTTCTGTGTTGCATAGCGGCGTTTGCGCTAAGCTGATACGCTACAGTAGCTGCAAACCTTACCTTGCGCCGCCAGCGTCACAGTAAGCTATGCATAATATCGTGACTAGAGCGGCAATTATCACCCCAAAAGCCATTCGGCAGTTGCAAACTCTCACCACTTAGTTAATCTGACAAGCTGTGCCNCAATTATCACCCCAAAAGCCATTCGGCAGTTGCAAACTCTCACCACTTAGTTAATCTGACAAGCTGTGCCGCAGCCGAATGCGGCCTGCGGCATCGTTTCGTAAGTGTTGATAAGAGCACGACAATGCGTCCTACTCCACCGACTTACATCCGGTAGTCGCGAACTCCCATCATCTGATATGTCTGACAAGTTGTGCTGCGGCCAAAATTGGTATAGCGACCCGCTGCACCATTTCAAAGTGTCCATAACAGCACAAAGTTGTGCTCTACTTCGGAAATAAACTCAAACGCTTGGTGCTGTGGACAACTGCTGCTGAACGCCTTGGCTATCGTCCAATACTGTTGTGATGTGAATTGATGGCGGAACCAGTGACTGCCCAAATTGCTGTTGCTGCATGGCAACACCCACAGAACCCACAACGGGGTCAGGCCTGGAGTAAACCGCTCTTTTTCTTAAGGGTTCTTCTGCTTCTATACCGGCTTCCCACTTCGCTGAAGAGGCACTGACCCCAAGCCCTTCGACCTCGTCTAGATATTCATCGTCTGCTGGACCTTCTACTCCCTCAGGCCCATCTGCGTCATCATCACCCTGTTCGCCTCTGTCTACCTTGCGTTTCCACATGACTGCTGCGCCGTAAGCTGCTTCTAGGCCTCCAAACTTTCTGGTGCTAAATATCTTTGTAGTTTCGCGGCCTTTCACGGCCACCTCCCAGCAGGCACCCTTCACATTGTATGTAACACCCCCGACAGATGGAAATTCTCTGGCTAAGGAGGCCAACGTGCGTTTNGGGGTTAACAGTGGCAATGACTGGTCCATCGGCGTCACCAGGTGCCCCGAGTACCCCTAGGCCCCCGCGAAGGCCTTTGGCGCACTGCGGGGTCACTTGCTGATCGTTCGCCGAATCGACGCCTGCAGGTTTTGGAGTCGCTTGTTGCTGCTGTCCTTCTGGGCAGCGCGATGCCGAAGGAACTGCCGAGGTACTACTGAAAGCTGGAAGCCGCAGAGATGCCGCCGCCGAGCCCCCTAACAAAGAACTCACCAATGCTAGGGCCGACGATGGGCTGTCGCCTAAATTCAAGTATGAGGTAACCGGATGACCTTTAGACCCCAGGGTTGGACCTTGTCTCCCTGGAGTCTCTTGAGCGGTGGAAGACTGCTGCAGCAATTGCTGTTGGAGCTGTTGTAACTGCTGAAGCTGATCTTCCAGCTGTTGCTGCAGCTGGTGTTGCAACAAGACCTGTTGCTGCACCGTCGACCCGCTGACTGCTACGGCAGGAACTGGCATGTGTTCGGTACCTGGCGCATGCTGCTGAATTGCTGGCTTTCGTGGAACAGAAGCTACCACAGTATCGGCTGACGGAAAACCGTTCGAAGTCGGCCGTTGGGGCGGCCCCCGTGGGGAGTTTCTTGGTGTTGTTGTCCCAGAGAGTGTTGCTTTTGTTTGCGAAGCATTCACACTGCGCACC